TATTTCCACAGGAGCTTTTTATGGTTTCTTTTCAGCTTTAGACCATTTAAAGCTCATATAGAAGAACTTTATGTGATTTATATTTTACGTCCAGACCTGTTTTTGTTTGGATAACAGCGCCTCTAATGTTTTCAGACAGCTGTGGTTTGTTCTGTGCCCTGAAACAGGAACTATTTAAAAAAACCAACAAACCTTACCAATTTTAATTTTGAGTGATGTGAAACTTTTCTTTGGGGAACTATATTAAGTAGATTTAATTGAGCGCACAAAAGTTTAAAATAAGTAATTAAAACGATTTATTGAAGTTCAGTTAAACCAAAGCTCTAGATTTCACCGTATTTGCTGTGTTTTTAAAACACTTTGATGCAGGTGGGCAGCAGACTTTTACTCCACAAAGACAATATATGCTTATTTCTGGTTTATTTCTATTAATTCAGCTTTTTTTTTTTGATGGACAAACTAATTAATTTGGTGATCAACATATGATAATAGTCATTGCTTAGGAGGTGCAGCAGCATGAATAACTGCTGAGGAGGCGACGATGTAGCTGAGCTGAACTATGGAAGAAGCATGGAGATGGAGGCTTGGCAGCAAGGAATCACACCAACACAGCATGTATGAAAGTTAGGGAGCAGGGATTTTGTTTTTTTTAAAGTTTCCATCAACATCTTCCAGTTAGATGTACCTACAGAGATCCTCTTAACAATCGTGCTACAAGCTGAACAAGTTTTGGAAGAAACAGCCCTATTTACTGTACGATAACTGGAAACACCTGCATGGTTGGTAAACTAACTCCTCCTTTGGACTTAGCTGGCATAGCTGCCAATACAAAAGAGCTAATGGTGTTGTCTTTTCAACTTCTCCTTCCGCGCTCCTGGACGATTTATTTTCCAAAGCTGCGAGGCTGGTGGAGATTAATTAGTCCTCATGCAAAAGTAAACAACAATGTTCCCGTGTAGCTTTATGGCCAAACATTAAAGTAGGTTAAGCTTTTTGTCGTTCTTTATCTGTATTTAGCTTCTCTAGCTCATCACTTCTCTATTATTCTATATGGTTTAAACAATATTTTATAAATTGGATAACATTTTACTTTTGTATTTCTTTTACAAGTTGCAAGTGTTTCCATGGAGACTAAACTCTTATTTTGGAAGGACATTTCTGACCCAGGACTTAACCGTGTTACTTAAGCAGTTCATCCAACACAATTGTATTTCACTCGATGTTTTTGATGAAATTGGAAACAAACAACTTTTCATCCGTTAAAACATAAATAACATGCCTTTCTTGGAAAAGTTACTAATTTTATCAGAAAACTACAAAAAGTTTAAAGTAGGGCTGGGCGGTTAACCGATTTTATCAATTTGTTGAATTTTTTGTTTATGAAGATAACATTTTTTGGTAATCTGGATTTTCTTTTTTTTTTTTGTAACTAGTCCACTCCTTGGCCAACATGGCTGTTATATGTGAACTCAATTAGGGCTGAATCAATTAATGGGATTGATTGATTATTGAAGGATTTACTAATCGATTAATCATTAACTGGAGCATAGAGGCTTTAAAATATGCCTGTAACTGACAGAATTGTAAAAAAAAAAAAAAAAAAAAAAGGATGAATGAGCTTCC